TACTAAAGTTCACGGGATTGGAATCTAATTATTTTGACACCTCAATCTTGACTTCTATCAAATGATAGGTTACCAATAAACGGGCTAATGGTTCATTTCGGCCTTTGCAAACCTAAACCAATCAAGCAATAAAAAGCCAAATGAGTAAAATGTGTCCATTTTTGTTGCAGTGAACTGTAGATGTGTCACTTTCCCCTGTTTTGTTCAAGGATCGTCCAAAATCTACTCTGACTGATCACAAGAAAAACACAACAAATGTTTTGACGGTCAGAGAAGAATAATCAAATCCGAGCTACAAAAGGTTAAAAAACAATCCTCGGGATGTTTTGGGAGAGATCGGCCTCCAGCGTTCCGGGACGCTGACGTCAACGCGTGAGGACAGATCTTCTGGAAGCAACCTGTCTCCACTGGGTTTGATGGTGATGGAAATGAATGGAGGAGAGAGAGAGATGGATGGAAACACAGAGAGAGAGAGAGAGAGAGAGAGAGAGAGACCTTGGGGGTTTCTATCGCGACAGCAGGAGACACTTTTACTCACGTCTCTGAGGAATCAATTTACTGTAAATCAGCACTGAGTCCGGCAAGTATCTGAGGTAAAGAACGTTGATAACGTGCACAAACATGAATACGTCATTCCTCACATTACACAGGCCCTTTAATTAACAGTATTAGCAAAGAGCACCCGTTAGCGGCAGGCTAGCCGCTGCATTTTGTGTGCGCAAAAAATTCGGAACTTTCTGAGCGTGAGTCCCGTTAATGCTCTCTCAAACATTTTCGATGTTGCATTGGATGTTTCAGGTAATCGTTGTTCACGATTCTGCTCAGCACCAAAACGTCGGACAAAGTGAACGACTAGCTAGACAAACATCAGATGGTTTAGACCAAAACAGAGCTAAAAGGAGCATCTATAATACTTTAATGTATCAGGTTGACACAAACACAACTCAAAAATGAATGCTAATGTTGCTCAGTGTCTGTGTCAGTTCCTGACTGTTAGCTAACATTTTAACAATAGGCTAAGCACTGTTTAAAGGACCAGTGTGCAGGATTGAGCGGCGAAGTTGCAGATTACAATACCTTTCCAAGCGTGTTGGAAAACTACGGTGGCCTTCAGGTTTTTTACTATATTAACATCATGCTGTATTGAAGAAGACTTGAAACTAGAGATTGAGACCATAAACTCATGTTTACAATGTTTACTGAGGTAATAAATCAAGAGAGAAATAGAGTCATTTTCTCATAGACTTCTATACAACCAGAGGAGTCGCCCCCTGCTGGACACTAGAGAGAATGCAGGTTTTAAGACACTTCCTCATCGGCTTCACTCGGCAGAACCGGAGGTTGCCGTACGTGTTTGGTTTGTCCTCTCTGGGCTACTGTAGCAACATGGCGGTGTGTCAGTCTACCTATATAGGCTAATATAACAACAATACTTAGTTTCAGGGGATTATACACTAATAAGACATATAAAACGAATATTATATTCAGTTTCTGCTGATAGAACCCTCTAAATCCTACACACTGCTCCTTTAAGGTGATTATTCAAAGGTATTCAAAAAGTTTTTACCTTTTAGTGGATTAGTGCAGCTTTAAACATGCTGTATTTTATGCAATAAGTAATTTCAGAGAACAAATTATTAACTCGAGTGAATAAATTATAGATTATTGTGCAGAAATCATCAAGGAATTCACCCCCAAATACCCGCCGGACTCCATAAAGAACCGAAGACGAACACAAAGACTCAGACAGACGTTCACAGACAAAGTACACCCACACATGTGAGCATGAACTCAGTCAGCCTTCACTGCATTCACAGACATTCACAATGAGTGGCAACGACAGCTCAATCCCACCACCTTGTGTCTGCGAATGGTATTACACGAGGAAAGAAGGAAGAAAAGCAGATGAACACGATGAGTTTTTCCAGAAAGTTTATGGATTATATACACAAGAATTACTGAGCCAAAATGTACAATACAGTGGGAGAGTATGGGTGAGAGAAATGACATGAGTATCTACTGAGCCCCCCCCCCCCCCCCCCCCCCCCTTGTCTAACCCCCCACACGTCCTGGCTCAACTTAAGTGATCCCAGAGGAAGGTGAGGAGTGGGCGAGGGAGGATGAAGGTGGCGACGAGGACATTATCATCTCAGATGCGTGCCGTGATTGTCTCAGAGGGAGAAATCATCGTGTCCTGTACAGTGTAAGGCACTGAGGGTGACCTACTGTAGCTGATGTTGTCAGGACACGTGCACACACACACACACACACACACACATGCACAGGCACGCACACACACAGTGCAGGTCCACTCACTCACATAGCGCGCATTTACATACACACACACACACACACACACACACACACACTTAGTGCTGTAACGATAAGTCGATTAATTGATTAAATCATGGAATATAAAACAATAACAATATTGATAATCGACGGATTAATTCATTTATTAACCAAAAAAGCCAAACAAGTGCTTTTCTTCTTTTTGATATCATTCATTTTTGTCATTTGATTCAGAAAATGTGACGTTTATTGTTATTTATCTATTTATATACAGATAAATAGCTTTATAGTAATATAGTTACATAGATGCACCTTTCTGTGCATTTATCTAATCATTTGTAACTTGTCATATGCACTTTCATTTAAGCGTGCTTACTTTATCATTTTTTGTTTTTGTTTGAATTATATTTTATTTTACTTGACAGAAGAAATTTAAGAAAAAAGTTAATTCTATCTGCATCTTATTGGAAATCAAATACGCAAACGTGCAAGTTTAGCTCAACAGCTAATGCACCAAAAACAGCAAAATTATACTAATTAAATAAAATAACTTTTTATTCATAAAAATAAATAGCCGGAATAATTAATAATAAAAACAAATAATCAGTTTCAGCCCTGAATACATTCAAATACCACTCAAAACACCTGCACACACCTGCACACAGACATCAACACACACACACACACGCACACACACACACACACACACACACACACACACACAGAGTAAATGTCTCCCTGTCCCAGCAGTTACCCCACTCCCCCCTCTCACAGTGGGCGGGGTGACGGTGACAAAATGGCGTCTGAGCATGAGGATGAGGATGAGCCCGAAAAGTGGTCCAGTGCCATTGTGAAATTGTGTGTTAACATCACTACGACCTCTGCTGCTGCTGCCCCCCCACACACACACATCATTACGATCTCTCTCGTTGCCTCTTG